TATTCACAAATACCAACGGAAAAGTAAAGAATGCCCAACTTTCAACTATACAAACACTTCGAAATTCCACGGAAATCGAAAGTTTGGTCTATTACTTGAAATTGAAGTATTCAAAGTAAACAAATACGAATAATAAATAAGGCTCTTCATACCTCAGATTCTAATGGCTGGTTGTCAATCACTGTTTCCATGCTGTCCATTGTATCCAAAGTCGAGGTTCTTTGTCTGTTACCTCGTTTAGTGTACCGGAATCCTGACTTTTTGTTCTTCTTTACTATCATCTTTCTGCTTGAAAAATTCCAATGAGGATTTGAATTATAGAAATGTTGAATAATAAGGTGGTTTCACGGCAGTCGTGTTAAATGGGTAGAAACGATAGAAATTCCAGCACATTTGAGAAACGAAACTTTCTTCGTGTCATGCAAATACATTAAAACTGTTCCAACAAGCATGGCTGCTGTAAAATAACTCTATGCAGAAGACACTATATCGTAAAACAAAAGTCTTGTCTATGGAAGACTTCATTTCCCCCCTACATTTTGGTATAATCAAATATGATATACGCTATATACACTATAAGAATTAGATAGGAATGTAGGAATGCAGGGATGACAGACTAATTCTTTGGCCGTCTTGCTCTTAACACTTAGCTAGCTGCCAGGCCTTCCTCGAGTATGCAATTATGATGGTCAGCAGCAGATTTTAAAAATCTCGGCAATGAAACCGTAACCGTACCTTCCTCTTTTGGATGATCGTTGACTAATGCTTGTTCTCTAAAATAAAAAGGAGTAAACTATGAAGCTTAACCATCTGCATCAAACAGACCAGAAGTAAAATATACATATTTAGACAATATTTCACTAGGTCATAAAGCAGTTTTGTTTCACCGCTTCCTTCGATAGCTCAGTTGGCAGAGCGGGGGACTGTAGAGTAATGATTGACATCCCTAGGTCGCTGGTTCAAATCCGGCTCGAAGGACACTTTTTGTTTTTTTTCCTCACATTTTGTCAGGAGAATCCCTTTGTTTTTCATCCAAATACCTTTTAAGGCCGGTTTAGACGGTACGATTTTTGCCTACAATTATCGTATACAACACGCTCGCGCCATCCTACAACTCGAGTCGTAGCGTGTAAATTAAGCCTACAACTCGCCTACGACAGACATGAGCGTGTTGTATACGATAGTTGTAGGCGAAAATCTTACCGTCTAAACCGGCCTTTAGTCAACTCTTTAATCATATTTGATTAATGTTGTCCATTTTTCATTTCATAATATCCCCCTCCATTTTTTTGGCCATTGACTAAATGGTCAGGTAAAATTTTCTTTTTGCTACACTTTTTTTTTTCACGCTTTGTATTTTGCATTAATAAGAAAGTTTGAAAGTGCGCGCCTTCGATTGATATCCCTAGGTCGCTGGTTCAAATCCGGCTCGAAGGATTTAGTTTTGTCGTATTCTATATTTCATATTATTCACGAAAATTTGTCGTTATTTTTGAAATTACTTTGTGCAAAGCAGTTCTAGTCTATATTATTCATACGTCGTTATCGTTATTAAAAGCTAGCGCAGCTCGCAGATTCTAAAAATAGCTTTAATACCCAAAAAAACATTGCATTTAACATTGCGGTTAACCTTGTCGAGTGATATAGAGTACAAACACTAAATGTGTGCAATAGTATGCGTTTGTTTGTATAAATTTCGCCTTCGTCTTCGTCATCTGCGCGCTGCATGCGTTCTTTTTCTTGTAACAATCATTGATTGATTCACCATGTTATAATACACTGTTTTACCTCAGAATCAAACGTGTTTTCTGTAGCTGCTGTTCCTGGTGCATCTGCGCCTTCTACAAGAGAAAAGATTAAAATTAATATACTTATACAAAATGGTCAAGTTGTGACTTTTTCTGCTTTTTTTTGATGCAGTAGGCCATATGCATAAACAGTTCAAATAACTCTAGGGGTAGGGTCTTGTGACTTGTTAGTTAATATCATCCGTTATCTCACAGTCAACAAAACAGTCAAAAGATATTTAACTTATTACTTAAAATCTTGTTTCCACTAGCGGAAGCAAACTCTTGTTGTACAGACTTTTTCAACTGGTCAATTCATTGCGCAGAATTCTATTGGTACTCTTGAGCCTATGAATGTCCTGGATGTAACACCCGTCATTCTGGGGTGCTTACCATTTACCAGGAAAAACCGGAAATTCCAATGTCATTGCAATTGGAAAGTTCCGGAAAACTCGGTCTTTTGATTGAGGTAATTCACTTTTCCCGCTCTTTCTGGTTCTTCCGGTAGACGCGTGTAACAAATTTTCCCACTCTTTTCATACGATTAGCAAATTGATTTCCAACCGGATGGATTGGTTTAATTGGTAAGCAACCCTGCATGGGCGATGTTTTATAGATTCAGGATCTACCGCACAAGAACAACTATTTTACAGCTTTATTTTACGGGGTTTTCCTTGCCATGGTTATTAAATAATACGTGCCTTTTCGTATTTTGAATTGTTATTTTGTGTGTGTATATGATGTTCTTAGCTGTATTTACTTGGGGGACAGATGGTCACTGAATATGTAAGCCAAACAGCCAATGAAAACTAAGCATGTTTGTAAACGATTAAAGAAGAATTGTTGTAACTAAAACTTTATCCATCCTTCGATAGCTCAGTTGGCAGAGCGGGGGACTGTAGAGTAATGATTGACATCCCTAGGTCGCTGGTTCAAATCCGGCTCGAAGGACACTTTTTGTTTTTTTTCCTCACATTTTGTCAGGAGAATTCCTTTCGTCCTAAGACCTTAAGTTAGCACTTTAATCATTATTGAATGTTGTCCATTTTCAGAATAATCTTTTTTGGCCAATGACTAAATGGTCTGGTAAAAAATCTTAGGCGAAAGTATCTTTTCATGGTTTGTATTTATTAATTATACGACACAAGAATGCCTTCGATAGCTCAGTTGGCAGAGCGGGGGACTGTAGAGGATGGATCGATATCCCTAGGTCGCTGGTTCAAATCCGGCTCGAAGGATTCATTTTGAAGCACAAATATTTTTGTTTCACCGCATTCAAAAATATTAGGGGAAAATGCATTTCATTTTTCCTCAGTTAGAAAGCTATACGTACAATGCGAGCCTTCTGTGGCAACAAAAACTTCAAGGCTAAGTTTTCCATAGCAACAAATAAGCTTAGCAACGAAATTTATATAATATATTGCGATTCGAGAATTTTTAATTCGATTTTGATAGCATTTAAATTAAACTAAATGAAAGTTTGTTGATATGACCATATTACCGCTCCAATGAGAAAGAACAACAATTATAACAAAGCTACCATCGATGGGTGATACCTGTCTCTCATGAATATTGGCACCTGCCAATCAAATGGTGCGTGAGAAATAAAGATATCAAAACTAAAAAAAAAGAAGACCCTGATAGGTTGCACCTGTCTCTTAGGAATATTGGCACCTGTCAATCAAATGGTGCGTGAGAAAACAAGGTATGAAAACTAATAATAGGAGGTTTCCAAACAAGAAGTGGCTCAGTGGTCTAGTGGTATGATTCTCGCTTTGGGTGCGAGAGGCCACGGGTTCGATTCCCGTCTGAGCCCACTGCTCATCTTTTTGTAGTTTCATCGATCGTTTTTAGAAATAAATTTTTGAAACGAAAGAGAACAATCAAAAAACGATTGAATCTATCATGGGTCTTCAAAATTAGTAATTTTGCAATAGCCTTCTCGATCTGTTAGAGAATAAAGCGGCATGTTCACCATGGGCCAAAGCGTACCGTAACGGTGCGCCCTTTACCCCTTCTTTCTTAAAGCAACGTTTAAGGTATTTTAAGCCTATACTCTGAGAGTCGCAAAAAGTGTGAGATCACTAGCAATCGCAATAGAGAGCGGACTTTTCAGCATTTATCACGTTACTTAAAATGTCGAACTGATCACGTGTTTGATGTCCCATAAAACCTTTGTGCTTACATACCTTTCCCTTCGTCGTCGCCGTCGTTCGCGTCATTTTCGTTATCATTGTCCATTCCTACGTTTAAACAAGAGTTATATCAGTAAAACTAACTCAATACAAGAGGTTCTGATTTGTCAAAGTCTGGTTTTCACTCGAGGTCAAATCGCGTCGTAATCTGAAGGTTTCCGTTTCCTTGGCTTGTGCTTACGCTATTGCCTTTTTCACCCGATGCCGATGCCGATGCCGATGCCGATGCCGATGCCGATGCCGATGCCGATGCCGATGCTGACTTCAATTGCGATTGCGATTCTGACTTTGCTTCCAATTTCAATTCCGACGCAAGTAAATTTAAACCAGCCTTATAATAAATTGAAGGCATCCATCCCCGTGATTTCTTATTTTCGGATTCCAAAGAAAACTATGCATATTATTTCTGGATATGAATAATATTATTAATTATATTTCGCGCGTCATAAACCGAAATCGCCTTTCTAATTTCTGTTTCTTTCGCGGTTGCTGTTACTTTTGCTGTTGCTGCGTGCTGAGGCACAGTAATAGCTATGTGCTAAATATGTGAAGAGAAAATGTTTTTCTAGTTTCTATCAAACATTAAATTATCAATTATCATTATTATCAACATAAAGGATAAGGGAAGTTATAACTTAAGATCTAGTAAAGGTTTATTACTTGCCCCATTTAATCGCAAGACCAGGAAAACATTGGGGGACAGGTCATTTGCTGTGGCGGCACCCGTTCTCTGGAACGCACTTCCCGCAGACCTTCGCGCCATTAAAGATGTTAGTTTGTTTAAGCGCCATCTTAAAACCCACCTTTTTAAATTAGCATTTTGATAGTTTTTTAGTATTCATCAATATATTTATTCATCTTATTTGTAAATAGCTATATAGTTATATATATTATATTATATTATTATTGTAATGCGCGCATGATCATTGTATGGAATGCGCGCACAATAAGTGATTAAATTATTATCAAATTATTAAACTAAACTTAAAGGAAGCCCACGTAGTGCAGAACGAATATCATTTTGAAATATTTCATTCCATCTGTAGGCTCAGTGGTCTAGTGGTATGATTCTCGCTTTGGGTGCGAGAGGCCACGGGTTCGATTCCCGTCTGAGCCCTTATTTCAGTATCTTTTAGCACTTCTTAAAGCCATGACGATTATTGCTTTGTGCAATTTTTTTTGAAAAACTAACAAAAGGAACTTTTTGTGAATCCATAATTTGTTCTAGCGCGTCGTCGTTGTTGTTGTTGTTATTATTGTTGTCGTCGTTATTGATGATTATGATGCTGTCAACGCGGGTAATTGCTAGACGCAACCAAGTTAAAGAACAACTCTTTCTTCAAAAAATTCCGGTTGCAAGCCCCCTCGGTTATAAGCTCACTAATTTGCTAACGCAAATGATCCTTCCTGTAATAAGTCAACACCCGGTTCTAAGGTATTGATGGTTTTCACAGCCACCATGTTGGATAAATTTAACAAAAGATTTGTCACTAGCCTCTTTCCGGTTTCATCATCCAACATGGTCACCGTGTCTTTTGTTATTCTTAAATAACAATTAATTAGCGAGAATTAAAATTCTGTTGGGAATGAATGCAAACCGCAGCTATCTAGTCTCTATTGAAAAGAAAGATCACGTAAAGGGAATACAAAAATAAAAGTCAACTTCATTTTTAAAATCTCTCCTTCCATCCGTAGGCTCAGTGGTCTAGTGGTATGATTCTCGCTTTGGGTGCGAGAGGCCACGGGTTCGATTCCCGTCTGAGCCCACGTGAGATATATTTTTGCATCTCGGTTCTTTATAGTTATTTTTGCCATCACGTGATGGCGCAAAGCCCCTATTGCTATATTAGAGTGACTGTATAACGTTATAGTACCTATAAAAATCTTGATCTAAATCCATAGCTAGAAATGAGTCAGAAAACCAGTATTTCTGCGATAATACCACACATAAAACGATGATACCTGTTTGCTATAAATATTGGCACCTGTCAATCAAATGGTGCGTGAGAGATCAAGGTATTAAAACTAAAAATAGAAGATTCTTAAAACTACCATCGATAGGTGGCACCTGTCTCTCATGAATATTGGCACCTGTCAATCAAATGGTGCGTGAGAAATCAATGTATCAAAAGTGAAAATAGAAGGCTTCCAAACAAGAAGTGGCTCAGTGGTCTAGTGGTATGATTCTCGCTTTGGGTGCGAGAGGCCACGGGTTCGATTCCCGTCTGAGCCCACTGCTCATATTTTTTGATTTTGCAAACAATAATCTGTGTTAACAGAATTGACTCGACCTATATCTGTGTTTCCTGGACAAACCGCGTACATGACTCCAATACAAACGTAAATGACAATTTCGTATTACACTTGGGGAGGTGAAAATTCAATAAGCTGTTTCTCTATTTTTTTCGTCATTTGCTGTTCAGTTACATAGAGATCAAGATATCTATTTCGCTCTCATGATTTTATAAAAATACAGAACTTGATTGAGATTTAAAATTTGATAGACAATATGAAATGCGGATTTCGAGTTCTGGTCATGCGCAGAAAAACCATTCACTTTATGCTAATCTCAATCTAGTACCAGAACCCTTACTGCGCATTCTCGACAAAATAATTGATTATTTCGTGGAGCATGCGCAGTAAGTGATAGGGGCTCTGGGTACGAGGTTGTGCTTATAATATGCACTGGACTTCAGTAGTTCACTGGATATGCTGCAACAGTTTCATTGCATATTGTTAATTGTTAAGTTAAAAGCATAGCAAATCTTACCTTTATCTTTTTCGTTCTTTTCTTTTTTCATACCTTTGGTATAGCAAAATATATAATATATATCAGTGATCTGTCCAGCATAAGATATGATATTGAAACTTGGTGCAAAAAGTCATGCATTGAAAAAACGTACAGTAAATCAGTAAGAATAGGAATCATGCAGTGCTAAGAGGTAAGTCGTAGACCTGAATTCGATAAACATGATGCATTGTTGGCTGGATTGGGTACAAACAACACCATATAAGGTATGATGGGGTGTGGATAGGGGCCGTACACGATCTTTAGTTAATCTAATAATATCTAGGCCAATTGTCAGTTAACTGTAATTAACCTCATCCACACCCTCTATGATGAACACAAGATATTCTTACCCAAGCTAGACCACAATACACCATGTTCGCTAACTCAGAAAAGGTCTGAGATATATCAAATGTTTAACAATCGTTGCCAGTCTCTCGGGTCGAGTAGGTGCTAGCAACCAGCCCCTCACAGGTGGAAAAATGTTATTTTTTTAATAGGATTCATGAACAGAACTTGCCATTCTATAAAGTGGCTCAGTGGTCTAGTGGTATGATTCTCGCTTTGGGTGCGAGAGGCCACGGGTTCGATTCCCGTCTGAGCCCACTGCTCATATTTTTGTTTTTGTTTTTAAATCCGGATTTAGGTTTATCCATTCAATTCAGACTTATCGAATTTAATCAATCGTTACAATTTATGTTTACAGATGTCTTCAGCTTCTTATTTTGGCGTTTCCATACTATAATAAAAATAAATTTTTATATACTTCTTTTAAACGACTATCCGCATCGTGGGCATCAAAATGCAGTTATTTTTAGCTATTGAAATTAAGATTAAAATCGAAAAGTTTTGAGTTTGAATTTTAGTTTGTTCAGATCTTTGAAACTTAATTCGTCTTCATCTCAAGATGAAATAAAGAAAATGAATAATACCAATATATCATGTCGTCTATAGTTATTTGGTGCAAGTATCTTTAAAAGAGTGCAATGGCAATAGTAAACAGCCGCCATGCTGGAAAATATAAAACCCCAATGACGTCATCCAACATGGCTGCCATGACGTCGTAATTACTAGCCACGAATACAAATACAATGGTGCCAATACAAATTGTTCACCTATGCCTTTAGCCTGTAGGTCTTCTTCTTCTTGTTCCCTAGCAACCAGCCCCTGGTCACGTGACTCGCATCTTACTTTAGGTTTCCCACACCTTTCACATGTATCCCGACATACTTTGCAGGGAGCATCAGGTCGTTTACAATGCGTCCCACACACAGAGCACGTGGCTTCACATTCGTTCACGTAACTGCCACATCGATAACAGTACTGCCCCTTACAGTACTCAAAGTCATTATTATCACTATCGATGGTAGTTTCTTTGGGTTTAAATGACATTTGCATCTGCGCAGTGAGATGGTGGATATCACTTTCACTCAAGTCGTCTTCATCCCACTTGGTGGAGAACTTGGACCGGTGTGATCCGATGGGGAGGGTTGGCACTGATTGTGGAAAGAAATGGAGAAGTGGATGGAAAAATGGAGGCTTTTTTCAAGCAATGAAGTCGTTGGCCTCCAATTTTATTTGAAATTTCAAAGACAGCATGAAAGAAGAAAATTCAAGCTCATTAAGCCTCTCAATTAGTTGTGACTGATATAGCACTAGCCACGTAGTAGAGTTAGCAGTGTTAGAAGAAAAAAATATTCCACACCTAGTCGTCAGTGCAAACTAAATCGTACGGTGTCTCGTCATAAACCTACAGTGCATTGTCTCGAAAAACATTTAAGAATGAATAGAGTATATTAGAACACAGATCATTAGACCATGCAACCGGCATATAAAAAGAACGTATTAGGTTCGACAATTAGAGTAAGTAGATAAGTAAAACGTCAAATTATCAGTACGCAGGTAAACCACACTGTCTCTTCGTATTAAATCAAAGCAACCACTTCTTGTGGGAGTGGAGTTAGAGTTGGTTATAGAAAGAATAAATAAAGGATACATGTACAACAATGCAAAGGGTTATGTGATTTGAATAGGAAAAAAAAAACACGTGTACCTAGCCAGCCAGTAGTAAGGTAACCCATGCAGTCTCTCGTTCAGAAGTTAGAGAAGGTCATGCAAATAAATGATATGCTTAATGCCAATACTTAAATGAATATTAAAATAAAACTCAAACAAAATGTTAGTTCTCTTTCTACATATTATTTATGAAAGCTTTAGATATTAAATATACTTTGAAATTTAATTCGCAATGCTCTATTAGTTAAATTCTTCTCAAAATGAAATTAAGTTTAGTATCTTGTTGTTATAAATTCGTACTGTTAGTAATATATGTTTTAGGATGTTTAATATGTTGATATATCAAAAAAAGACTTTCCTGTTATAATAAAAATATTTATATGTTAAAATATCTACAAATAGCTTTTAGATAAGTTTAGGTAGATTATTAAGTCTCGATGCATCATTATGATAAATTCCATGTCGTCAACTTCATCACTATTATAGCATCATCATCACCATCAGCAGAAGCAGCAGCGGCAGTAGTAAGATTATCACCATCAACACCACCACCATTAACGTCTCCACCACGATCAACACCACCACCACCATTAGCATTAGCAGCAACATCAGCATCAACATCAGCAGGAAACGGCAGCAGCAGTAGCATCACCAGCACCATATACATCAACACAACCACCACACCATCAACACCATCAACACCAAAAAACACCACCACTATCATCATCAATATAGCAACCTCTTTCATTTATCACTTTTATCTAAAATAAGTTCCCTATAAACAACACACTTTTTCAATATTTTTGAATTACCTGCTTTCCTGGTTTTATTCGTAGGTTTCCTTTTGAACGAGTGACGGAATTTCCTCCTTTTTCCACCAGAATCAAGGATAGCATTAACCTTTTCCTCCTCCTCCTCCTCCTCCTCCTCCTCCTCCTCCTCCTCCTCCTCCTCATTCCTCTCGTCGCTACTTCCCGCCGCGGCGGCGTAGGCATCATGAAAGCTTATCAAGCTGTTTCTATGCGAAGGAAGGTCCTGCTCATCTAAGGAAGCTGCACGATATCGTCTGGTGATTAGTTGTTCTTCACTATCAGATGAATAGTACTCATCACTAAGGGGATCAAAATGAAGACTTTCATCACTGTCCCAGCTATCACTGTCAAGGCCAAATATCGAGAGAGATGACTTTTTCTTTGTCAATTGGGTAGTCTTCGCTTTCTCATCCCTGTTCCCGCTTCGATTTCGGGATTTTGAGCGCTTTGCTCTTGAACTTGTTCTATTGTCTTTTCCACTGGTCTTTTTTCTTGCGTCTAGCTTGAGCTGTAATAGCTGAGCTTGTAGTTTAAGTAAGCTGTCTTCTTCACTGTCTGCCATGTAGCCGTCTGGATTATCGGGATCTTGGCGATGCATCGACCTGTTATGCTGCGATAAAAGGGTTTAAAAAGTTACATGTTGAATTATCTAGCCTATCGACCCAAATTCCAATTAGATCTGTGGGTTAGCTGTGTGCCTTGATATGGATCAGCCAAGAGATAGATTGTTTCAGGATATCGTTGTTACTTACCATTTCAGCAAGAGTAGAAGAATTCGTTGTTCTATGACCCACAACCACTGTAGTTCCAGACCTCTTCCAGTCTTCACTCGAATACACTTCCTCGTACCCAGTACCCTGCTGACTCCCATTGGCGTAAGACTGGTGCCGACTGGAGCGTCGATTTCTCTTTTTGGATGACACTCGTTTTCGTTTCAAAAAATTCAAATATCGTTCAGGAATTAGCAATTCACTATCACTCAAAGCTTTTCGTTCCCTAAGATAATGGAAGCTTGGTGGCCTGGATTTGCGTTTGTGAAACGACTGCTGTTCTTTTTTCTGGCGACGAAGAAATGCACTATATTCATCACTGTCTTCAGAGTCATCGCTTAGGATGTTGCCTTGAGCAATTACCAAGCCTTTAGTATTATTCTCCCTTTTTCTAGGTTCCATTCCTGATTTTCCACTACCTCTCTGTTCCTGTCCAGAGACATCGCATGCTTCATTATCAGAATTCTCTTTCTTGCCTCCTTTTCGACGAACCCGCACTTTCATTCCAGATTCGGGATCCCTGTGCTCAATAATTTGCATCTCGTCACGTGAATTGATGTCATTCGAAGACTGGTCCTGTACACCTGGGTTTGTTAATGACTTCTTTATTCGCTTGATGGTACCATCGGCTTCTGTTATAAAAAAGCTGCAGAAATATAAGATACTTTAAATGATAAATGATAAATGGAAAACTTCAGTACCTTGCCTGATGTCTGCTTATGTCCACTGAATAAAGGTTTGTTTTACAGTAAATATATATGGTGGTATCTCTATTATAAGTGGACACCTTAGGGATTTTGCTTAGCACCCGCTTATTAAAGGGTGTCCACTGAATAGAGGTTTTTTTCATGACAGTTAATTTGTTATTTTATAATTTTTATGACTGAAGACTTATCTGCTAAAGCTTAGCCTAGCCTAAGGCCCTTGCTAAACGAGGAAACATGTTTACCGCGCGCATGTTTCCTCGATGTTTCCCAGTTTAGCCACATGCGAAACATTGCCAGCTGCGTGCAACAAATTTTGCTTCCAAGACGCAAAAAATGTTTTTGCTGTGCGGCAGAAACATTTCATGTTTCCAAGACACATGGATACATTGTTTCCCGACAGTTTTGCCACCTTAGGAAACATTTAGGGAAACATGTTTCTTCGTTTAGCCAGGGCCTAAGAGCAAATCATTTGTAAAAGTCAACTGTAATGTAAAGGAATGTGCAGCTTGAACAATACTAATGTTTTAAAATCCCACACGGACTTTAAATGGATGGTATCTGAGAATAGCTGACATATAAACGAGGCTAAGCGTGTGCGAATGAGTCTGTGGTCTTCAGAAACAGCGGTATGCACTTTAGTTTGAAGTTTGTACATCTAGTTCAATCAGGTTATCCTTACCTATCATCTTTGCCATCAGGTGTAAAGCTGAATCCAGTATCATCACTACATACGCTGCGTTCATCTTCAAATCTCGTTCTCACGTGGTCCTCATAGGTATAATTATCCGTTCCGTGATATGCTTGGCCATGTTGCTTCTCTTCTCTTGATTGGTGTCCAAGATGCTAGAATAGTGATGTAAGTAAAGCTCGAATTAATACTATGGAAAAGCTTGTACTTCATGCGGTGTGTATCTCAGGGTCCTGATTACACAGTTGACATACCTTGTGAGTACCAAGGAACCGTGCAGTGGTTATCATTACTTATAGTAGACAGTTATGGACGAAAGTCAGTGATCGGCAACTGACTGACTCATCAAATAGTATTGTTATATACCAAGTACAAAAATCCTTTTTTTTCGCTTCTCATTGGCCAAGAGTGTGCCACATTAAATTTATATATATTCCCCAGGAACAGCAATATCGGAACTGATTTTACCGAAAATCTAAGCTTTTCAAAAGTAAATAATAAAAAAAAAATCAAATAATTGCTATGGGAAAGCCGTGCATGTGTTTTGTAGTCCCTCGACGGCAATGGACCACAAACCCTACTGAAGTTTCCTGCGGTCCCAGTAAATGAGTGTTAAATGTTTGATGACCATTTAACATCCAGTTTCTTACCTTTTCCATTTCCTCTTTCGTAAAATACTGCTGTCCACCGTTTGTCTGAGCGTTGCTTCTTGGTGTATTCACTTCTTTACCACAGTTAGCACAATTACTGGGGTAAGTGATAATCAGTTTGATTTGCCCGGTATTGTCAATGATCTCGTGTGGGATGGCCAAGTTGGCACCACACCTGGTGCATGTGAACACTGCGGTGACGTCATCAGAGTTTTGACCAATGGCTGGCAACACTTCCCAAGTCTAGCCAATCAAGAAATATAAAATAGCTTTACGTTACGTTGAGATATTTTGATATAAACACACGATAGAACACAATAAAAGCTATATGACACTATAGGATCCACGACATCTTTTATAAAATAGAACGTAAACGACAAAATTAACAAAAAACCATTAATTTTTTCGCAATAAGTGTAAATACTTATCACCTAAAGTGGTATTCGACCAATCAGAGCGCGCTTCAAAGCTTGGTTATTCCATAAACATTTACGCCCAGGAATGAAATAATATATATTTACCTTCCATGTCAGTCTTTTGTATCCACCTCCAACACGCACTACTGGGTTGAGAGTTAATAAGTCCTAAGTGGAAAGAAGCACGATTAATTTCAAAATGTGTTCACATTTTTCGAAATTTTGGCCAATCTGAAAACTCAACTTCTAATTTGGCTCAAAGTATCTAATTATCTTGCATTGCTGTACCGTTTTGCTTCTTTTACTACGAAGAAACCTTGCACATGGTTCCCTTATCTTCGTATATTCCCTCTCGTCCTACAGAATATCCAAGAAAACATTTATATTAGTATAGAGAAGTATAGTAAAATCACGCGTTTCTCGGCCAATGAAACGTACGGAAAGATAAAGTAAGACATACAGTGATCCGTCCATAAAGTGGACCCCTTATAGAGCGGGCACCCTTTATATACCGCAAAGCTATTTGCACGGCCCTAAAAATTTTCATCTCGTGCAAATTCATTGTAAAACATCCTCTATTAGGCGGACACCCATTATTAAGGGGAGACCATGCCAGGCAAGGTCCTAACAGTGTCCGCGCAATAGAGGTACCACTGTATTTACCGTAAAACATTCTCTATCAAACGGAAAAACGTTTTTAAGTGGACACCAGGCAAGGACCCAAAGGTAGTGGCTTATAATAGAGGTACCACTTAAAAAAAAAAAAAGTATTACGTCCAACAAGCTTCATAGTCTACAGGGCGCTGTTGTACGAAGGGTGGATAGCGATGGACAAATCGTATCCAGCAGATAAATTTATTGGATATTCAGCATCGACTTATCCACTGGATAAGGATTTATCCATCGAATTGCTTTATCCACCCTTCGTACATCGGGCGCCTGGCGTAAAAGACGCTTGCTTTGAGTACATCGCCGGATCGTGTATAGATATCTCAGGGACTCACCTGAGTTCTTCTTCTTGTCGTGTCAGATTTAAACCTCAAGGAAAACGGCGCTGGGTAGATGAAGTTCATGAACTTGCCAAAGTCAGCACCTCGGGTTGTCTGTAAAGTATTAGCAATATTCTTTAATAGGAATACTGGAGATTGCGAGAATATGAGAAGAAAGGAATGGAAGAGGATATGGATATGGATATCGCAGGGAAAAGGGAAAAAACGAAAAAAAGGATCGAGAGAGATATAAGAGAAAAGGAAGGAACAAAAGCAGGCAAGCAGGCAAGCAGGCAAGCAGGCAAGCAGGCAAGCAGGCAAGCAGGCAAG